AAGTGAGAGAGTCAGTGAGCAGGAGAGGGGCCCAGTTATTAGGAGAGTGTCTACTACTCATGTGTAAGGACAGAGGCCCAATGGTCTGGACAAGGAGTCAGTGATCAAGACAGGAACCTAGTGGCTGAGACAGGAGCCCAGTAGTAGTAAGAATAGGAGCCTAGTTACTAATAAAGATGGCACACTCAGGAAAAGGCCTGAGTTGTAGCAATAGGGGCCCAGTTGTCAGGCATGACGAGAGTTGAGGAACCAGGTCTGGGACCAAGTGCCTAGGAGATGCTCCTTTAAAAGACAGAGACTCAGTGATTGGGACAGAGGCCCAGTGATCAGACCAGGGGTCTAGTGGTCAGTATAGAAACACAGTGATCAAAGCAGGGGTTTGTGGTCAAGAAAGGGACCCAGTGGTCCTGTAGAGGGACTCAGTGATGAGAACAGAGGCTCAGTGATGAGGACAGCAGCTGGCATTCAGGGCAGGTTGAGTGGTCAGGACAGGGACGTGAAGTTGTGGGACACTGGCTTAGTGGTTACACGTTGGGCTGTGATCTGCATGGCTGGCAGTTTGAAACCACCAGCAGCTCCTTGGGAGAAAGACTGGGCTTTCTACTCCTGTCAACAGTTACCGTCTCAGAAACCCACAGGGCGGGAGTCACTGTGAGTCAGCACTGACTCGATGGCAGTGAGAGCATAAGTCTCATGGGCAGGACCAACCTCAGCCCTCGGTCTGGTTGGGTCATCATGTCCTCTAAATGGACTTGACCACATCGGCACTTCATCTGAATACCCACAGGCAGGCATCTCTGAAATGGAATCCCAGTCAGGGACTGAATATACAGTAAGCAAGAGAAGCATAGCCTTACTTGTGTCGACTCATTGTTCTGCAGTGCGTTTCACTACATTGAGCACCAGGAAGCCCATGCTTAATCTTAAGCATGGTGGAACTCTACCCTTGTCAGGGATTGTAAGTGTGAAAAGAAATGTTGATTCTCTAGGAAGGTGCTGTGGAGTTGAGAGAGAGGCAGGTGCCAGCAGTATCGACAACCAGAATCTTTAATGTGTGTGTGTGTGTGTGTAATTGTTCACTACAGATTTGTGAGTAAGCACATCTTTTTTATTGGAGAATAAGGTCTCAATTTCAGCCCTCTCCCCGTTATCCCTTCCCTGCCCCTCTTGTGCTAGCCTCTGAGACAGCCTGCCTTTGGGAGCTGTTTATTACCCAGAGCAGGTTCTCTGAGGGTGATGGGGCTTCAGAGCAGAGCTGTTTTCTGGCTTCTCCAGGACTCCATGTTGCTTTCCCCCTGTGGACACAGAGGCAGCTGTTAGTGTCTAGGCAGGGAAGGTACTGAGAGTGGGCAGAGTCCTGCCAATGGCCATTCTACCCACCCCCCCCCCACCACCACCTCAGGGAGCACTTCCTGGAGGAGTCCTGTTGTTACTGCTCTGGGAAGCATAGGTCTTGTCCCTGGCTGGGTGACATCAATGCTGACCTTAGCATCTGCCCGTGCCCTCAGTGACTGTGATGGGACCACAGCAGGGTCAGCCCCGGGGCTATGTTACCACCCTTCAAAGACCTTCCTCTCTGCTCTCCCGGGCCCAAGACACACCTGAACCTGCAGGTCCGGTCAGTACTGGGGACCCTCCTTGCTGCCATGTGGGCTCCAGATGTTGGTCACAGTCAACACTGTGCTGTAGACAAGGCTAAGCAAGAAGAGTGTGAGCAGGGTGACCGTGGTGGGCCACAGACTGTCCCCGGGTGCCTCCTCCTCCAGGCTGTCCTGCAGCAGGTCCAGCACAAGCCATGGGTGTGGCTCTCTCCAACCTACAAGACAGGTGGAGTCTGACAAGCCCAGAGTTGAGTGGGCAAGGGCCCAGGGACACCCCGCATTACCCCATGTGGTGGCAAGGCCCCCATTTCAGATCAGAGACTCATCTCAGTAAGGACCAGGCAAGAAGTCTCTAAGGAAGGGGCTGGTAACTGGAAGCGTTTGCAGTGTCCAAAAGACCTCTATATTTGGGGTGCTCCTCGGGTACCTTGAGGAGAATGACTTTCATGGGGTGGGAGGGTAGACACACTTTGAAGTTCCAAGCAGGGTTGCGGGATCTCAGCCTCACATACTCAGCAAGCCCTTCCCCAGGCCCTGCTGTAGAGCTATGGGCCTCAGGTGCCATGGAGGATGGAGATATAATCAGCCTTCAAGTCCTGAAGGAGCTCCAGATATGGGTGTGCCATTCGGTTTGTCAAGGGGCATGCCCACAGGCTATCATTACTCTACCAGCTTATGTGACTGAAGAACCACAAGGAGTACAGGGAAGACCAGGTGAAGTCCACTCACACTGGATGTATTCAGGTACCAGGGCACCAACCACTGGTGTCCAATGGGGCTTGGACCTACTTGTCATATGCTGTTACCTCCAATCCTTCATCCACCCAACTGCCAACCATTCATCCATCTATCCATTCATGACTCATCCATCTGTCTATCAATTCACCACCCAACTACTCTCCAATCCACTTACAAATCCACTAGATCATCCATCCATCCATCCATCCATCCATCCACATGTCATTTATCCATCCAATCACTATCCTCTCCCCAGTCTGTCCATAAATCCATCCACCCATCCATCCATCTGTCTGCCTACCTGCTCACTGATCCATCCATTTATCCATCCAAACACCACCCATTCCCCACTTCTTTCATAAAGCCATTGATCCACCCACCCATCCATGTATCCCCGCGCCATCCATCCTCCATTTATCCATTCATAAATTTATCCTTCTATCCATCAGTCCACCCACCCACTACTCATCCATTCCCCCAGCCATTTGTCCATCTACCCATGTACCCATCTGTCTTCCCACCTAGATATCCATTGTAAATGCTATTGTCTATCCTATTTTGTGCTTGCTGCGCACCTGCTGGCCCAGCTTCACTAGTGAGTCTCCTTCTGTTCTCCCCTTGTGAAAAACCCCACTGTTAGCTCAAGTCCTTTGGCTGGCCCCCAAGTGTGCCTAACATGCCTTCTCCATGACAGGACTTTCCTGCTTGACCTGCCACTCTCTCTATTGCCCTTGAGGATAGCAGTGGCCAGGGTGGGAAGAGGGCTCCCACCCTACTTTGGCCCTGGGAGTGGAGAGAGGCAGTTCTCTTGAAGAGACTGGGAAGATTCTCATACAAGAGCAGGAGCCCCACTGCCCCCTTGTGGGAAGGATGGTGCCAGGTGTCCACATTTCACTCTGGGGCTGCCCTCTTTGCGTGGTGCCTCACCAGGTGCCCTTTCTATGGAGAACCTCAGAAGCCATGGCCCAGCTGAGGGCGTGGGTTGGGAGTTCTCTCTGACCCGTTCTGACCTCTTGCCCACCCCTATGCCCCACTCTGTCTGTTATTTGGGCCATGTTTTAGCTCAGGATGGATTGAACATTGGAGTCTCAGGGCCCAGGCAGAAACAGACATGGCCTGAGAGGAACATGTGGAAAAGACCCCGTGCTGTGTGAAGCTGTGCACAAAGAGATGGACAGAAGGGGGCCCAGGAAGGGCGCTGTGCAGTGGGCTGAGCCTCAAACCTCAGGATCTATGGCAAGAAGGGAAAAACCCTGCTGCAGCATTTGCTGGGCACTCCCTTATCTTCCTGGAACTGAGGTCTGGCCTGTGAACTTCCTATACCTGCAGGTCATCTCATGTGTGCACTCACATGCATACATGTTCATATGTGTGCATGCTGCCATTTGTTTGTGTGTAACTGAGTTCATATGAGATGTGTTCACATGAGCACATGTGTGTCTAACCATGTATACACATATGGGCATGTGTGCACACATAGATCCAAGTGTGCATGTACACAATCCACTAATCTGTGTGCATCGATGTGTGCAAGCATGCATGCACACATTAGTTACATGTGTATGCATCTAAGCATGTGGGCAGGTAGCAATGTCTGTGCACATGTGGGTGGGTGTGGACACAGGTATTTACATGCATATGTGTGCACACAGACATGTGTTTTTGCATGTGTGCATGTGTGCATGTGATAGTGCATATGAGAATATATGCATGAGGTAGAAACACATGTACATACATAAATTCAGGTAGGTGTATGGGTGTGCACGTACACACCCATATGTAAGAGTGTGCATGTGAGCATTTGTGCACACCTGTAGCTGTGTAGGTGTGTGTATAAATGTGTACACATGTGTGTGTCACTATGGATGCATGTGCATGTGAGCCTATGCAGATCCATGCAGGTTCTGGGCATGTGTGGGCACATATAAGTTCATGTGTGTGCACACAGGCATGTGTGTGTGTGCGCATGCACCTATGGGCCTGTGTGGACACACATGTGTGTGTGTGATTGTGTGTATGTGCACATGTGTCCATTGAGCTGTGTGATGTGGGAAGTTGGGGAAAACTCTGCTCATTCTGTACACATCAGTGAGCAGACCTGACTTCTGAAAGTTTCAGGGCCTGGCCTGCATTCACTGAGTCAGCGAGCGGTCTGCCTGGGCTTGCCTTTCTTTCTAGTGGGTCCCCTGGAATCCAGCTCAGGCCATTTTCTGGGTCCCCCCTCCAGTGATATTAATTCCTGTGCGGCCTTTCCCTGTCTCCCCCTCCACTGGGGGTGGCTAGAGGGAGCTTTTGGAGATACAAATGGCCACATTTCCTGCCCACTCCAGACCTTCCCAAGGCTCCATGACTGTTGGGGTCAATTCCAGGCTGAGTCAACCCTGGCCTGTGTCTGGATCCCTCTGAGCAATGTACATACACAGATACACACGCGTACACACACACACACACACACACACTTGCTCTCCCATTTATGCACACACATGTGCGTTCACACACACACAAAATCAAGGGTGGGAAGGTGTGTGGAGGCACAAGCTGAGCAGGGAAATTGAGGCCTGATTGGGTCAGGGCAGAGGGCTACCCCGTCTACCTAGTCTCTGCCCTACCTAGGCATGCTGCCAACCCCCGGCATGGACAGACAGGTGGCTGGACCGAAGAGAAGGGCTCTTTCTGGTTTATTTGAGGAGCAGTGCTGGGGCTTAGTAGCAGACGCCATTCCCCTCAGACATGATCACAGACACGTTGACATTGGTGGGTTTACCAGCCAACTTGTTGATGCTCTTCTGGATGAAGGACGTCGGCAGGGCCTCATGGCCCACCATGCAGGAGAAGTTATCTTCCCTTTTCCAGGTCTCAGCCGAAATGCGCAGCAGGCTGGTCACGGTGTAGGTGGGGGTACCCTGGAGGGGATTCCTGGTCTTTGGTTCCTGGAGGGGATCCCAGGTCAGAAAGTCACTGCTGGGCAGCTCTTGGTCCTCATGCAGCCAGCGTACCAGCATGTCCCGGGGGCTGAAGCCAAGTACCACGCAGGTGAGCGTCACCAGCTCATTCATGGCCAGTTCCTCAGCCGCGGGCGGATGCACATACACCTGAGGCGGAATTGTGACCCCTGTAAATGAGAGAACAGGTCTGGTTCTGAGAAGGCAACCTTACCCGGACTCAGGGTCCTCTCGGTAAGCCCCACGTCATGGGGGCTGCACTCCTCTAGTCCAGCATCTGCAGCTCACCTGAGTCTTTGGAGATGCTGATCGGTGGCAGGTTTCTGGCTTCGGGGTGAGTCGCTGAACATGTGAAGATCTGGCCGCGGTTCCAGGGATCTGCGCAGCCAGGGAGGACACTGGACACTTTGTAGCAGCCGCAGGAGTCATGCTCAGGTGACCCCTGTATGGCGTCCTTCCCGTTGGAGGGCTGCCAGGTGAAGGTGGCCCCCTCAGGATTTCTCAGGCCACTCAGTGTGCAGGTGAGCTTGGCATCAGCGCCAAGGAGCAGGTCTTCCAGGGCTGGCCGGCTCAGCGACAGGTGTGGCTGGCAGCAGCTGTTTGGCTTTGGAACTGAGTGAGGCCAGAATGGGTGAGCATTTGTCCCCTAGTCCCTCTCTCTTTCCCTCGGCCCCTATCCAGGGCCCCCTCCCTCCTATCTTCTCTGCCACCCCCACCCTCCACCTCCATTGCTTGTCCTCTGACCTTTGCAGGGCACCCTGACCACCTGGTCCGGGCTGTTGTAATGTTGCACATGGCACTGGAGGGCTGAGGTGTCCGGGCACTGGGCAGCTGGCAGCGTGAGCTGGCTGCTCATGGTGTACAGCTCCCCAGACGAAGCCTTGATGGCAGGGAAGTCTTTGACAGTCACACTATCACCATTGTGTATCCAAGTCACGTTCACAGGTGCCGGTGGGAAGAAGCCCTGGATCAGGCAGCCGACGACCACAGTTCCATCCTGGGTGGCACTCGAGAGACTCAGTGGGAAGACATGGGGGGTGGCCTTGGGCTCTGGAGCATACAGGGTAGACTGTCAGAGGGGCTGGACATGGCCTTGTGGTCTGGCCTGCGGGCCCATCCAGGTGGAGTGCTTAGTCAACTGGCACATAGCACTGTCCAACCCCCGCTTTCTGCTCCTGCACTCCCCAGGATGACTGCAGGGGCCACACAGAGTACCCACGAGGCTGACTAGAGATTTAAACCCGCTGCATGGTTTAGCACAGCCCCGTTAAGGATATGATCCATGCACAGATTGCCGGGCAGGTGCCTGGAAAAGATGCATGGGCAGAGACCTCAGACAGAAGCCTGGCAGGACCCATGGACAGGAGCCTCCGACTGGACTGGGCGCATGAACTGTGGGCAGAGACCTCAGGAAGGACCCCGGACACCATGCAAGGACAGAGGCCTCTGGGCCCCAGAGACAATTCATGGACAAGGCCCTAAGGCTGGGTCTGGACGTGCTCCATGGACAAGGCCCGGTTCAGGCTGCTCTCAGGCCATGGGTCCTAGTTGATAAGCTTTGGCATGCACTGGCCATATTGAAAGTGCCCTATGCTACCGCACTCATTGTGAAGTGGGCACTCCACACTCTGGGACGAGGGAGGGTCCTGAGGGGACAGTCCCTGGGTGAGGCACAACCTTGAGCCAGATAAGTTTATACCTAAAGTTCAGCCAGTGTGGGGGCAGAACCAGGTGGTAGAGGGAGCCTCTTTGTTTCCCCCTCTCATGTTGCCTACGAGGCTGCCAGGTGGACCTTCCTCCCCAGCACACGGATCCTATCATGGCCCACACACGCGCACAGAGCACGGAGAGCTGGGGCCCAAATTCTGGGAACACAGCACTCTCCAACTATTGCCTTCCCTCACCACCCCTCTCCTGCTTACATGGGACCAAGTCCAGTGCAGCCCAGTGGGCCTGGCCCACTTCAGGCCAATTAGGCACACATAGCAAAAATCCAGTTCAGCTCTGCCCAGCCACAACCACCCTGAAAATCCAGCTCAGCTGAGCTCAGTCCACCCCAGGTCAAAGAAGCCTAGCCAAACTCATTTAAGGTCAGACCAGTGGAGCTCAGATCAGTTCAGCTAAGCCCTGAGGACTATTCCAACCCAACCCAGCCCGGTCTAGCCCAGCTCAGCAGAGCTCCGCCCAGCTTTCCCTTGCCAGCTCAGCCCAACCCACTTCAACTAACCCAGCCCAGTTCAGCCAAGCTCAGCTTAGCCCAGAAAAGCCCGGTCAGCACAGTTGGACTCATTCCAGCCCTGCCCAGCTCAGCCCAACTGATTCCAGTCAACCTTGTCTAGCTGGGACCTGTCAGTCCTGCTTAGTCCAGCTCAATTTAAGTAACTCAACAGCCTGGCCCAGCTCAGCCCAGTTTACCTCAACCAGCTAAGCCTAGTTTAGCCGAGCCATCTCATTCACCTTAACACAGCCCAACCAGCCAAGCTCTGACTGGCTCAGCTAGCACAGCTAGGTCATTCCAGTCCAGGCCAATCCAGGCCAGCTCAACCCCACCTAGCCCTGGCAAATCTAGCTCAGTTCATTTAGCAGAACTCAACTCAGCCCAGTCCAGCTCAGCTCAGCTCAGCTCACCCCAACTAGCCTAGCTCAGCTCAGAGAAGTTCAGTCTAGCACAGCCCTGGCATGCATAACTCACCAAGTCCCACCCCATCCTGTTCAGCTCAGGCTGCTCTGCCCAGCTCATTCTAACCTAGTTTAGTTCAGTCAGATCCCAGCTCAACCCAGCTTTCCTGGTCAACCCAACTCATTCCACATAAGCTGGCTCAATCCATTCTAGCTCCAATCAGCGCATCCCAGTTCAGCTTGGGACAGCTCAGCTCGGTCTAACCTAGCACTCACAAGCTTAGCTTACTCAAGGAGCATAATTCAGTCCAACCCAACATTGTCCTGCTCAGCCCAGCTCCACCTAACTCAACCACCTCAGCCCAGTTCAGTCAGTCCCACAGAGCCCAGTCGAGTGCATGTGGATAGCTCAACATTGACCAGCTCAGCTCAGGTCACCCCAGCCAAACACAGCTTAGCCCAGTTCAGCCCAGTTTAGTCCAGCCCATGTAGCAGAGCTTAGCCCAGCCCCACCGCACCTTGCTCAGCCCAGTACAACTCACTTCAGTTTATCCCAGCCCAACCAAGCTCATCCCAGCCAAATCCACCTTAGCTCAGATCAGCTCAGTCTAGTTAATCCAACCAGCGCAGCTCAGCCCTACCCAGCTAGCCAAGTTCAAGGCAGATCAGCTCAGCTCAATCCAACAAAGCCAGCTCAGCCTAGCTATCCCAGCTCAGCCCATCCCAGTTCAGGCTAGCCAAACCCTGTTATCTCATCTTGGCTCAATTTACCCAAGCTTAGCCCAGGCCAACTAGTCCAGTTCAGCCTAGCTCCACACAGCTCACCCCAGCCAAACCCCACTCAGCTACTCCAGCTCAACCCAGAAATCCCAGTTCAGCCCAGCCCAGTCCACTCCTGCCAAACCCAATCAGCTCAGTTCAGCTCAATCCAGCTAGTTCAGTTCAGCCCAGCTATCCCAGCTCGGCCCAGTCCAGCTCACCCCAGCTGAAACCAGCTCAGCTAGTCCAATTTAGCTATCCAGCTATCCAGCTATCTCAACTGGCCCATCCCAGCCCAACCCAATTAGCTCAGCTCCATTCAGCTCAGTCCAACTAGTCCAGTTCAGCTGCCCCAGTTCTATCTAGCAGAACCAAGCTCAACCTAGCTAGCCAAGTTCAATGAAGCTCAGCTCAGTCTAGCTAGTCCAGGTCAGCCCCATGATCCCAGCTCACTCCAGGCAAGCCCAGCTCAGCTCAGCTAGTTCAGTTAAGCCCAGATATCCCAGCTCAGCCTACCGCAGCCAAACCCAGTTAGTTCAGCTCAGCCCAGTCCAGGCCAGCCCAGCCCAGCCCAAGCTCAACCTAACCCAGCTCACTCCAGGCAGATCAAGCTCAGTTCAGCTCAGCCAGTCCAGGTAAGCCTAGCTAGCCCAGCTCAGTCTTGCCCAGCCCAACTCTCCCCCAGCCAAAGCCATCCACCTATTCCAGTTCAGCCTGTCTAGCCTAGCTCAGTACATTATAGATCATTGCAGCCCACTCCCAAGTTAACCCTGACAGCCCAGCTTAGCACAATTAACTTATCGCAACCCAGCTCAGCTCACCCCAGCCAAACTCAGCTAAATCCAGACCAGTCCATTAGCCAGAAAGTCCACCCCAGACCAGTGCTGCTCAGCCCAGCTCAGCTCAGTCTAGCTTCGATTAGCTCAGCTTAGTCTAGTTAGCCCAGTTCAGTCCAGAAGAGCCTAGCTCAGTCCCACTAGCCAAGTTGAGCTCAGCTCAGCCTACCTAAGCCCAGCTCCAGTCAATGTAGCTCAGCCCAGCCCAGCTCCACCACCTCGTTCAAATCAATCCAGTCTAGCTCAGTCTGATCCAGCTCAGTTCACTTCAGCTCACCCTGCTTAGCTCAGCCCATTCTAGCAGAGTTGAGCCAACTTTCCTGGTCACCCCTGCATACCACAGCTCACACCAGTCTCAATTTACCCAGATCAGCCCAGCCAGTCCAGCCAAACAGAGCTCAGCTCACTGTCCAGTCCAGCTCATTCCAGTAACGCTCATCCCCATGTTCAGCCCATCCCTACCCAGCTTTGACTCTCCTATCGCACCCACCTGCCCTGTGGTCTTCCTAGATCTCCACAACCTCTCCTGCCTTCTTTCCCATTGGTGTGTCTGGACTGGGTGTCCTTCATCCTCCTGCCTCAAGAAGGCTCTGGACCAGCTGGCCAGGGCTACACAGAGCCCTCATTATTTAGAGGTGGAGAAGGAGAAGTGAGAGCTTTTGGGACCCACCTGCTTAAGGTTGCTGAAGGTCCCACCTTCTGCTGAGAGGGACCTTGGCATCTTGCTGGCCAGGCAGTGCCCACACTGCAGATTCATTCCCATGACCCTCAGCTTGCCCACTTCAGAGGTGGCTGGAAGGGAGTGTGAGCCCCAAACCTTCTCCAGACTCTGCCCTCATGGCCATGTGGCTTCCGCAAACCTCTCTGCCCTGTGCTGGGCTAGGTGAGACTAGTTGGGGTGATATTCGGCCCATATCTGCTGGGAGAGCTTGGCTGTGGGGAGGGGCTGTGTGGCTGTATGTTTGGATCAGTGTGGTCACTCACTGACTTCCGGTTCCAGCAGACGTGGCCACATCTCCACGTCATGTCTGGTCTGTGGTCTGGCTGTGGCAGGGCCAGGTGTGTGAGGCCCAGGCTGTATCCCGCCCCCACCCCCTGATCCTGCTCTGACCTGAGGCTGTGTGAGTTGGAGGCTAGGGGCATGATGGGACCATGATCCAGGTTGTTGACCACAGGATGGGGTTGGGAATAGATGTCAGGAAGGTGAAATGAAAATACAGAGACTGTGAGACAGAAATAGGCCCAAAGATGGATATAGAGAAATTGAGCAAGTGCTGAATAGGATTCAAAGAGGATCAAGAGAGGAAGGGAACACAGAGGGACAGGGCTTGTCCGAACTTAATGGGCACAAACTAACTAAGGCAGGGGCACAGAAGGACAGGGTTTCTGGCATGAAAGCCTCAGGGAAGACACTAAGGGAGACCTTCAGGGTGATGGAGAATGAGCCCTGAGCTTATGTGGTTAGAGCCGTAGCAGCCGTCCCTCAGTAAGAGCCATTGAGTGTGGTTACTCTTTATCCACCAAACTGATGAGCAACTGTCTGGGACCCATCCACATCGGAGGGCTCTACCTGTCTCAGAGGCCTGCAGGTCCAGCTGGTGCTAAGTTCCAAGGCATAGCCTTTCCCCACCTACAGCCTGCCATCCCCACAGTTCTCTGCTCCAGGCTTTCCTCTCATGTAGTCCTCAGCCTGTAGCCCCGAAGAGACTGAGTATGTCATGGCCTGTACTCTTGTTCATCCACCACTCCAGCCCTGGCATCCTCCTCTGGAGAACATCCTTTCTGGGCACATAAGAGGGCAATTAGACCTTGTTTGCATGAACATTTATCCATCAACTCACCTATCCACCCATTTTCCTGCCCTTCTTCATTCCTTTTATAATCCATCCATCCATCTGTACACACACCAGCTGACTCAAACATCCATATATCCATCCTCTCATTGTCATCCAACCATATCAATATCCATCCATCCATGCATGCATAGTTGAGTTATGAAGGCACACATAGGACCTACATAGTTTATCCCAGTAATGTTGACATTGGGAGGGAGAGTGAGCAGTCAGGTGTAACAGGTAGAGGTAAGCTTTTCCAAGGCTGGGGAGCTTGGGCGAGATCCACGTTCTTCCTGCAGTAGTGACTGTGGTCTAGTGCAAGTCCCCCGGTGCAGTGTGATAAGAATGGATTGAGAGCCTCGTGGTGAGCTCCCCAAACTGCCTCAATGCTAATGAGTCTCTCCCTAAGGGATACGTGGGCCTAAGAGGTCAGTTCAGAAACTGGGCACTGTGGGCTAGGGGTGTGGCCACTGATCCTGAGAAATGGGCCTAACAGCTCAAAATTTCCTATTGCCACTTTTCTAATTATGGGAACATTTTCTTCCAGCTGATGATGATTTGGTCTCCTTCTGTGAAACTCACTCTACCAGGACTCTGTCTGTATGATGAAATCCATTGTCATGAGGAGACAATTAAGAGTATTTTCCTATTTTTATATCAGTTATGAAGACGCCCTCCCCAAAGCGTGCTCTTGTGACCAGGCACATTGTGGAAGGGAACTTTACTAAAAAGCTCAAGTAGAAGGAAACAGAATCGCCAAGTCTAGGAGAAGAGGTAGGTGAAGCTTTGTAGCCACCATGTGAACCTCATCAGAAATTCCCTCTTCATTCTACCTTGCAAGTCTGGCTAGACCAGAGGATGTACACTGGTGCAGATAGGACCTGGAAATACAGGGAATCCAGGGCGGATGATCCCTACAGGACCAGTATAGCAATAATGAAACCCACAACCTTCCTCTAGTTCTTAAACGCTTCCTCCCAGGACCCCAATTCTGCCTTGCAGCTCTGGCTAGACCAGATGATGCACAGCGGTACAGATAGGAATAGGAAACGCAGGGAATCTAGGACAGATGAACCACTCAGGACCATGGGTGACAGTGGCGATACCAGGAGGGAAGGGGG